TTGTACCCGACCTGCGGAGGGTTCAGCTTCAGCCGAATACTCGGAAGGCAAATGGGAATAATGTAGAAGCCACACTGATATCGTCTGTCTTTTTATAAACTCCCCATAGCTTTGGGTTCAGTCTGTAATCCTGGCTGACATTTTGTCAGTGCGCCAAGTTTATTGAAGTACCAGTAGTTTAGTTGTATCAGTCATGCAGGGGTTTTGTCAGAAACAAATTGGATCCACCCAGTGAGTTTGTTTGGTTTAACAACAGCAGAAAATGTGAAATGGCAGCTGAATGTTAGCCTCTTTTACCCATCTATTACCTGCTGGACATTTTTATTTTATTCATTTTTAGTCTATTTTTCTACAGCAATACTGAACAATTTCCAGTCAGACTTTTCTTAAATTCACTGGTCTCACTCTGCCTCTGCAGAGAGATTAGAGATGGGCAGGGTACCGTTGGCTCATGTTACACTGTTCCCATCTGTAACATTTGTTTTTTATTTGGCCATCAGAAGTTTTCCAACTCTTGGTCTTGCAGTAATTAGAGAGACATCTTAATTCTCCAGCCACTTCCTTTAGGCCTGCGAAAGTTCTCCTTTTTTCTCCTCCCTCATTCCTCCCTGATTACATTAAAAAGCGCTGTGGTCAACCCCTCTAAACTACCCCAAATTGTTGAAAGCCCTCCTCCAGCCAGTTTTAACTGCCGTTTTTGGTTAACGTTCTTTCTCAAACAGAGAATGGGGGTGTGGTTAATAGTCGGACGTAATATATTACCATGACAACCAAAAACTGACCGGCTGGAGTGTTCACTAACGATATGCTGTGTTAACATCACTACACTGTAAAGTTTAGTACACTTTACTGTCTGGCAGGAGTAGCTATTACTGACCCATAGAAACTGATGTGCGCGTATCAGCTGTTATCAATCATACAGTCGATGGTCTTGTCACGCACTGCACACAATAACTCCCACTACGTTTTATGGTGCGCTTACTTTACCGCTGGGGTGTGGGGGGTGCCTCCCCCGATGCATTGGTAAAACGGCCGTCAGTAAAATGCATGTTCCAGACTGTGTATAATGGTGCGACCAAAAGCAAAGCAAGCCTGCGGGGCGGTGAGTTTACATACAAAGTCAATGCAAAGACGCGTAGAGCCGCGATTTCCTGTCGGGTGGGGCGAAGCGACGCGAAGGGGGCGGGGCCGGCGATGCGAAGGAATTCGCGTGAGTTGAAAATATTCAACTCACGCGAAGAAGTCGCATGACGCTGAGTCGCGATAGCCTATCAGTGTTGAGATTGTCCGTACGTCACCGAGGCTTCAGAGCGTTGTGTGGAGAGGGCCGGGCAGAGCGGGGGATTGAAAATCTGCTGGCCGGCTGAGAGCTGCTAAACTTGTAGAAGAGGAGCAGCGAGCAGCGCTGCTAACATTGGATAAATAAACACCCATAATCGGTCGGATTCTGCTCAGACAAATACGCCGTTTACTCGCGGGAGGAGCTGGGAGTTAACTACTTTTATTAACTTAGCTTTTTAACTGAAAACATGTGTCTGTAACTTTATTCCAGCTATCATTGTACTGTGACCCATAGCCCTGATCGATCCAAACTCCATTCAGAAAACAAACATTGTAAAAGTTGTTTAACAAATCTGCATCATGTTGTAGTTATTTCGGCATCAGTTTAATCCGTTTATTGCTATTTAATCACAGCAAAATGTTTACTTTGGGTTCATACAGTTGTAGTAATGGCGAGTTGTGTTCATTCACGTTATTGCGTTAAAATAGCCTTCTCGCGTTGTGTGTGAACACTTGCAGCGAATGTACTCACACGAGGAAAGTGTTGCGATGCGAAAATTCGCGGTTGGTCTGAAAGCACCATAAGACGTTGGCAGGTGAAAGTTTTAACAACTAAGCAATTTTTGCAACTTTGAGCACAAAATTAAGCTATTTGTCAAAAAAATTTGGCGAACTATGTGGTAATGAACATTGTAAGGAAATGACTCAGAAAAATATGAAATATCAGAAATGTCAAAATACATTGGAGGGGGGCTTGAAAGAAGGCGGCAGTGGAATGCATGAGTGTGACCTGCTGTGTTTTGACATGAGTGTTTTTGATATCCTTTGAATCCTCTTTACGAAAACCGCTCTGTAGATTATCAGAAGCACAAATGTTAGAAGATAACCCTTAGTTTATGTGATCATACCGAAGGGTTTCATGACTTCCCTCGGCATGTGAAACTACAGAGATGAGTGTTGAGCTTCTGACAGCGTGAAGTTTGTTTTTTTTTTACTGGCTGCTGACTAAGAAGATAACGTTGACAGCTGTCAAAGCTGTTAACGTTTGAACGCATTCTTGGAAACAACAACCCATATTTAGAAAAATGTTTGATGACAAGGTCATAAGACTGTAAATGAAACTTTTTGTGAACAGAAGACTTTAAGATCATAATAAAGACAAACGACACTCTCTGCAATATAATGCAGGAAGGGTATAAATGTATGGCTCATGTTACAAACAGAGTGGAACTAGCAAAAGTAATTCTATACAAAAACATAAAATGAGAAGAAAAGAGAATAAAATGTGATTTATTTGTATATTCCAGACTCTACGTGTGTGGACACTTTGCTTTGCACTGTGTATACTAAAAAAGTTGCTTTTTAGGCTTTATTCTCTCGATTTAATTGTACCTTCTCTTCCTCTTTTCTCTCTCCCGTAGCGGCGGTGGTGGCCGGGTCGGACATGATGCCGGGACAGATACCTGACCCTTCGCTGGCGGCGGGCTCTCTGCCCAGCCTGGGCCCGCTGGCGGGCATCTCGGCCACCACGCTCACTGATCAACTCAAGCTGGCTGACTTCCGCCAGCTGGGCACCATGCTGTCCCCGCTGCATTTCCTGGGGAGGCTGGGGAAGAGGCCGCTGGCCATCAAGACAGAGGTAGGGATGAAGAGAAAATAGAGCAGAAGGAGGGTGTGTGAAAGATGTACATCTAGGGTAGTAGATTCAGGATGTTTCAAAGGCCTCTATCAACAACACATGACATCAGTCTGCAGCTAATATTTGTCAGTTAAGAACCAAAAAATTCATTTCAGTATCACACGCAAACCATTTGGATTAATGTGAATAATCTGAAGTGATGAAAAAAAAAATAAAGAGATTGAGAGGTGATTTTATATTGAGGTGCCGGGTGTTCAGAAACAGTATTTTTACAATGAATTAAAATGTCCTGATAGCAGACTTGGAACATGTGTCATTTTAAGATAAGACAATGACGTTGTTTCCATCATTTACATTAAAATGATAATTTTACATTAATACAGAATGTGGGCATGATAAACTGATTCATTTTGGAAGTTGTAATTTTTACAACAAGAATTACTGCAGAGGTTGCGCAACAGTTAGGTGATCACTACTGTTTGTTGTAGGTTTATGTAATTTAAAGTATCTGATAAATCAGATATTTTTTATATTGAATACAGTCATAAAATATGTGTCTCTCATGTTAACAGTACACTGTACTTGCAGATGGATGAAGATGAGGAACGGAGGAAACGGAGACGAGAGAAAAACAAGGTGGCAGCAGCGCGATGCCGAAACAAAAAGAAGGAACGGACTGACTTCCTTCAACGGGTGAGTTCATGACACAGCACTGCATACTGATGAGCTGAGGCAGAGCACATTTGAGCCACTCAGCCCAACACGAGCCGTCTAAAACAAGCTTGGGTTAAATGATCAGAATTCCTGCACCTGCACAGCTTTGAAGTACTTCTAATAATTCAGAATCTCTGTCCAGGAATCGGAGCGTCTGGAGATGGTGAACTCTGACCTGAAGGCCCAGATCGAGGAGCTCCGCATGGAGAGGCAGCAGCTGATGGTGATGCTCAATCTCCACCGGCCCACCTGCATTGTGAGGACCGACAGCGTCAAAACACCTGAGAGCGAGGCCAACCCCCTGCTGGAGCAGCTGTCTGCCGACGCCAAGTGAAACCAGGAAACCAGGGACATGGAGTCCCTGAAGCCCGAACTAGCACCGCCACTAGTTATGAAAACATAACTGGCAATACATTCTAAACAAGCACTTGAGCTCCAAGCTGAAGACTTTTGGAGACTGCCCAAAGACCTGAGGTTGTAGGGCTTCCTTAGTACTGCTACATGAGCTGGCTCTCTCCATTGGAAGACTGGAAAAACCCAGTTTCATCTCTGCATTAAGTGTTGTTGTTGACACCCGCTGTGCCTAGTTGTTACTTCAACCATCTCTACATTAAAAGGGACCAATGGAAACAGTAGAGTACGACTGGAAACAACACTGAGGAAACACACTAATATCAATATGGTGCTCTGTTACAAAAGCCCTGAGTAGATTGTGTGGCATTGTTTCAATGAAGAGGCCCACAAAGGCTTAGTGTTCTGCAGTTTTGCTTTTGTATGCTAGCTGAAATATACAGGAGTAGAGTTTTTAGGATACAATACTCAATACAAGTACACCAGACGGAGTAGAACTTATTTGTTTTTGTAATGTTGATTTCTATACCCTGCCTTGACGATGGCAGTTACCGGTTGATCCGATTTGTGGTGACGCTGGCGTCATGAAAAGCACATATACACAAAATGTTTACACCCTTGTTTTTTCTTGGACTTGTTGTCTGTCCATTATTGTACTTGTTTTATACTGCTTTGTATACATAAACATATATGAAATGCTTGTTAATCACTTGATGTGATTTGTCTATTCAATCTTTCCAGTCTGTCTGTCATGTTGCGCTGTCAAACAGCTGTGAAAACAAGCGGAAATCTTTTCAGCTGAGCAGTATTTCATTCAATGTCTGTTCTGAACCTGTATCTGCTATGTATGACTCTGGTACCCTGAATAGATTAAATTTTATTTTCTAACTACAAGAAAGAGCATGTCTTGTTATTTAGTTTGACCCAATCAGACATGCGATTTCTCAGGTTTTCTCCAGTGAAATGTATCGTTCCTTGTTTTTGTTCCTCCGAGTTATGACGCTAGAACAAGTGACAATAAGTTGTGCAATCATGCCTTGCTTGCAGCTCCCTTTGTTCAGGGCTCAGCAGGAGAAATGTCTCCACCACAGAAAGCTGCTGACAGCGTTTTAACAGACATGACCGCGTACCATTCCAGCTCTTGTTGACCTTTACTGGCTGCTAAATTTTAGAATTTATCTTAAGATTTTATTGCTTTCTTTAAAGCTGCCCTATGGTTATAATAATTCAATTGAGTTTTTATTTCACTGCCTTTTGATTTTTTACGAAGATTAAGTTAAAGAAAATTTTGTAGCCTTGTTTTCAGTTTTTGTTATATAATAATTATTATGTTTGCAATGTAATTACAAGACTAGTTAAACTGTTGCTGAAGGAGGCACAACAGCAGCTCACTTTCACTACACTGACACCACAGATATATAAAAGCAAGTCTTGTAATTAATATATTCAGTTAATATTATAACAACATGGTCAATACATTGATCTTGGGTGTTTCCTCCCTGAACTTGCTTTCATAAGATATGTAAAGGTAAATGAATAAGCCCCATGTGGTTAGGATTAGCAAAAACATTGAGTTGTTATGAGACCTATGCCATAATGCTTTTCACGTGACACCTACAGGTTGTGGACTAAACACTTCTCATGCAACAACAATTGCCCATCTGCTGCGTTGTACAGTATTGACTCAGCCTGCGGTCAACAGCTCCATCTAGTGGAATGTTTTATGAACGGCACGACGGTAACTCAGTCGGACTTCACACGATTAAAAATACTACTGATAGATATGTCGTCAGCTACTTTTGAAGACAAACGTAATGGACTATTTCCCATTATATTTCCTTTTATTTTCTTCTCATATTATTTTTATCCACCGGGTTGTTCTTGGAGTATTTGACCTCCCTAGCAACGGCCATTGGTTTCCAGTTAAACGGTCATCTTTCTTTCTTTTTTTTTAACACGTTACACTTCCCAAATTGACCAAACTTTCTCAGGTAGGCTACCGTTTTCTCTACTCTGCGGACATTTTATATGCCTGTTTAACAGAAACGTGAGTGTTTGTTTAAAATACGGATTCAAATTAACTTATTTTGGCCCAGAATAACGGTAAATGGTTCCTCTTTGACGTTGGTCTGCTCGGGCATAAATTAAATCAGCGTTATAACGTTATATAGCCTATTAAATAATAATTATTGCCAGATAGAAACAGAATTTTCATGCCTTCGCTGCCACATAACAACTGGGGCTTCAACAAAGTCATAGTAACTACAAGTAAGCATTTAACAAGGTATAAGTCGAGCAAACCGCTAACTTTCAAGAAACGCTGTTAGTAGCCCGTTACCACAGTGGAGAAATCATGAAGTCAAATTTTTACTTAAGTAAAAGTACAAACGTTTCCTTAAAATGTACTTAAAGTACCAAAAGTAAAAGTGCTCATGCAGAACGGACAATTTCAGTGTAACGTTATAGCCTATTGTTTTATTATCGATGCATTACTTAATTTGTTCAGCACTTTAATGTTGAAGCTGGTAAAGGTGGGGCTAATTTTAACTACATTATTATAGGCTCCTCTATCTACCAGGTAGCTTGTGAATTTATCCCAGGGATCAATCAAGTTTCACCTTAATATGTATTATTACATCATAATGTATTTGTTGATTATATTTTGTTTTGTTATCTGAATCTTCAAAGTAACAACATTTTGCAAATAAATATAGCATAAAAAGTAATAAGTACAATATTTGCCTCTGTAGGGTGGTTAGGTGGAAGTAGTAGAAAATGAAAGTATAAGTACCTTCAAAATGTACAGTACTTCAGAAAATGTATTTAGTTAGTGGTGTTGTACAGACACAGGTGAGGCTCTCAGGATCTTGTGGTGTGATGGATCAGCTCAGTGAGGATCAGTCAGTCCTGCCCACGGGAAACCAGGATCAGATAGAGGACAAGGAGAAGCCAACCCAGGGCCAAGAGGGCGATAGTGGTGATGAGTGGGACACTGATCTGGAAACAGACGGTAGGTTGCAGTGGTCACACAGTAGAATAATGATGGATACACACACACACCTCTTATGTCCCACTTCCTTTCAGAAGCCACAAATCAGAGACAGAGTCAGAGACAGAGTTTTTCCCGTGCAGAGCTGTACCTGCAGGCCTGTCGGCGGACAGGGACCATTCCCGTTTCCTCCTTCCTCCACCACTTGGGTGAAGTTAGTCTCAACCTGAATCACTATGGAGTGGGACCTCAGGGGGCCAAAGCTCTGGCCATAGTTTTGCAAGTACGTTTTTTTCCCCCCTTCAACTAGATATTCAGATATTAGATATTCACTTTAATGAAACAAATAGTACAACGATCATTTAAATTCAATGGCACTATTAATTTACGGTATATAGCTTTCACAAAGTGTTTTGCTTCTGTACATCCTTTTAAAGATACTGTTTTCATGATGACATATGAGGTCTTGATTCTTTAAGTGTTTCTCTTTTCCTACATTTTCAGTGCAGAGAAAAAGATGTAGAGAAATGGGATCTGACAGGTTTCTCATTTTTGGTCATTCATTAAATTTTTCACCCTCCTTTTTGTGCTTTAGAGTGACAATCTCATCACCAACCTTGAGCTGGAGGACAACGCGCTTTGGGCAGAGGGGACACGCTATCTGAAGGAGATGCTTCAAACAAACATCTGCATTGAGAGTCTAGTAACTATTTTAAAACTAACACGTTGAATACATCAGTTCAGAAAAATGTGCCTGGCATAAACAAGTGGCACAACATGGTACTCATCTGCCTTGAACTGCTAGAGGAACGATATTGTATTAAAATAACTCTATTTAGAATGAATGAACGCTTTTTAAAAAAATCTCCAAATGACTGAATGTCTTTACTTCAGAATCTTTCCAACAACCAGCTGCACCTTGAAGGAGCGGACATCATATCTAAGATGCTGTTAGACAATTACTACATCAAATCCATCAAACTCTCAGGTGACAAACATTTACCTCTCAAGCTATTTACCTATAAACATTTCCACTGTAATACACAATTAAGAGGACAAGTGGATATTATTTTGGATTAGTAATTAAATTAATTTCCCCTTCTTCTCTTAGGAAATGAGTTTGATGATTCTGCTGCAAAATGCTTTGCTGACGTTTTAAAGGTTAGTACAAAGGATTGACTATTGAATCAGTGAGGCAAAAGAGCATTTGAGCTCCTACACGTTTTTCATTACCATATCCTAACTAATAAATAAATTTGCCTCCGAAGAAGCATCTCGAATGAGAGGTGAAACATCTTTGAGTATCTTCAACCAAGTCCAGTTGCCTATAATTTTATCCTTCCTTGGATAACTATGACCTGGATGATTGAGAACCTTCATAGACAATCAAGAAACTGTTAAATTTGCATTAAGCATCAGTCCAACGTTTTCTTTCTTCTCAGGGTGACTATGTGGTCAAAGAGCTGGACCTCAGTCACAACAAGTTCTGTGATACAGGAGGAGAACATCTGGGTCATATGTTAGGTACAGTAGTTCATTTCTGACTGATTTAGGCGAATGTCACTACTTATGCAAAATCCTTTGACTAAATAAACAGTGAATCAAAAATATATACCAGATTTTTTTAAACGTAACGACACAGGATTAGAAATATATGTTTAATTTCACTGTGTCTTTAAATTTATTTATTTATTTTTGGTAAGGACAATTTGCACCAAATAGGTAAACAAGTCAAAATGAACACCAATGATATACAGTATACTGTATATAATGTATATAGGCTATATACACTCATTTCTTCGCAAAGATGTATTTTAATCTCAGTTTGACTTTAAAAGACTCAATATATAATTTGGGTTCAAGTTTCAAATGTATTATGACTTTTTCAATTTGTTTCCTCTTTCTAAAAGCCAGAAATGTAGGTATTGAAGTCCTAAATCTGAGCTGGAATCACCTTCGTATGCGAGGTGCAATTGCTTTGAGTGCTGGACTGAAGGTGACAAACACGCTCAAGCTCAAGCCTTTAGTGTATATTTGACGGCCTGTCTCCTATCACAGCTGTTTGTCCCTCTCATTTTCCTTTCTTCAGGTGAACTCAACTCTGAAGCATCTCCAGCTGTCGAGGAACGGTTTTGGCCACATCGAGGCAGAGTCGCTGGGTCAAGCTCTGAAACAAAACAGCACGCTGCAGCTGCTGGACCTCAGCAGTAACTGTATGGACGATCAGGCCGTGACACTGCTCTGCCAGGGCCTGGCCACCAACGACACCCTCAGGGTCCTCAAGGTGAGCGGACAAAAGGGTTGTGAGTTAGTGGTATTTTTTGTTGTGTTTGATCAACGTCACGGTGAGTTGAAACGTTTTGCACTCTGTAGATCAGTTTATGTTAAATATAAGGTTTGGTGTGTGTACATTTTGTTCAGCTCTCCCATAACCCCCTGACAAATATCGGAGCTCTTACGCTGCTCAAGACAGTTAAAAACAACATGAAATCAGCAGTGGAGGAGATTGATATTTCTGTAAGTGCAGCAAAAACAATTTCCACCTCGGCATCTGAACTATGTATAAATATAAATCTGTATGTGAATATTTGATGAGTATTACTAGGACTACTTCTATGCTCTGAACGAGCCTGTAAATGTGTGAGTGCAGACAGTGTTTGTGTGTGAGGCCTTTGTGGAGCTGCTGGAACAAGCCCGTCAGACGCATCCCGCTCTGGATGTTCAATACAGCATCATGAGCTCCGTCACCAGGAACATATCTGCCCTCCAGATCTTTCAGGTCAGTATTCAGGATAGCAAAGGGAGAGAAATGCAGCAACAGATAGACTAGGATATCAACTAATATTTAATGTCCATGCACACAACCTTTTATTGTCCTAAGTAGTAAGTAAGTACACTAAAGAGATAATTTTTTTGTATGTGTCTTTCTACTCGATTTCCAAATTTAAAACGTGATCTGGATTCTTGCATAGAAATTCCTTGGAGAGAGAAATGAGAGCATCATGGACTTCTTCCTGGCTTTGGATTTAAAGGGAACGATGAGGGTCTCCACCTCTGCTTTCAGGAAGGCTGTAAAAGTCAGGCCGACAATTTATCACACTGCGCTAAAAATGCCATACATGCATAGGCATACATGTCATTCATGAGTACAATAAATCTGAAAGTGACTTTGACATTTGACAATGACATTGAAAACCATTATAAAAATGATGTTCTCATGCATGCAGGAAGCTAACGTACCTTTGGATCAGCGACAGCTTGAGTGGTTGATCAGGAAGTTTGACCACAAGTGCACATCCACCATAATCTACAGGTTAGTCTGTGAACTGGTGTATGTAGGATGATTATAATTATGACAAAGTACTTATTAGAAGTAACTTTTTTTGTAAAAAAAAAAAAAAAAAAAAAAAAGAGGTTATGGTGGTCCAAAATGATTTGTTGTAAAGGCCCAGGTCACCCACATTAATAAGAATGCTTTCCCACTTCCCCTAGAGGTGTCCAACCATGCAGATGGTTTTGGATTTATTTGCCTTATTTACATAATTTCTGTTCATTCTTAGACTTGGAAAATAGTTCAACAACACAACTCACGGTCTTCAGTGCTTAGTTGTCACGGAGATGTTAAAAAAATGTTTTATTTGGATGAAGTCACGCTTCAAGTGTAGTTCGAGTGTAGTGATCCTTTACTCTTAAGATTCTGTGAAGATACTTGTGCTTTATCACTTGATTTGACCCAAATCAGCTATAAACTGTTTCAGAAAATGTCCAGCTTTGTCTTTGAACTGTCTCTCTCTGTTGCAGCCAGTTTTCAGAGCTGTCATAGGTACCGAGATGTACAGCGCCACTAATATAAACATAGGGATACCAGAAGGGACATCTTCAAATAAAAGCTAATGGAGTCTGTAATTTGATTGTGTTCTTTATATGCTGGTAATGTGACTTTGCAAATTGTGTTTAACATTCTTGCAAAATGCAAGGAGGGAATGGCATCACAAACCCAATGGTACTGCTCACCACTGACACGCCTACCCTAATAGCAGCTTCCTGTGACCCCCCCCCCCAACCCCCCCCAACCTGTAGTTCTTCACTCAACCCAATTCTGTCCAGTGTTGAATACTTGAACCTCTGACACCAACCAGCTGCACCCACCTCAGCGCTGCGAGTTGTTTCCGCGGTTGGGCCACAGGGTCCTCTGCCTCATTCTCTCTGTCCAAAAATAATCTTCTGGTATGACAACAGAACAAGAGGAGGAAGAAAAAGAGAGCTGGCATCCATATCAAAGGGCCGAGAGGAGAGAAAGAATAGGGCCAGATGCAGGCTAGTTGTTTCGCCACATTGGTAAGCGTTGAATGAAAAGGGCCTGTAAAGGAAACGGCACAGTTATGAATATGCATATACAGCATTACTTATGCAGGCCCTGCATGGTAGGATTATCAAGGGTGTGCTGATGAATTGTCTCAAGGTGTGATATCAAACAGTGCAATCTGTTTCTGTCAGGTGGCTCCAGTGGTAACCACAAGGGAGACAATGACCTGATGCACCAACTCATTCAGTGAGTCGTGTAAACGGCTTGACAAAGTAATATCGTGGGTCAGCGGGACAACTCTATTAAACTAACATCCCATTTCAGCTAAATGCATTTATTTTCACCTCGGAGGAGCTTCATATCACACCAGTGCAAATGTAAAGACACTCACTAAAGGAAACTAATCAGGTGTTGCTGCTGTGGGAAAACATACAGGTTCTGACCACGCCTGAACTTGTGTTCGTGCTCACTGTGTAACATTTACACAAACTCTTCCACCTCTCGTCTTCTTCATCATCGTCTTTCCCTTTGTCTCGAAGGGATAGCAACTGGCTGCCAGAGAGGTCCCAAGCTATTTTGCACCCTGTCTCGGGCGGTTCAGGCCCACAAGATTCATTTAGTGAACAGTCACCATTACTGATCTATGCTTCCACAGTTTTCCTTACAGAGGTTTTGCAGATGTTTACAGTAATTAATAATAGAACATGAGCTGTGTTGCTCTGGGAGAAATGTGCTAAACAAACGTTTAAATTTAACTATGTCAAATCAGAATAGGGTTTATTGACAAGTGGATTTTCACATAGAAGGAATTTGCTTTGGTATTTTGGTGAGGTGAGAGTTTTTTTGTTTTAAACAAATACTAAAAAAGTCAAATATGAAATTGAAAACTTGACAATAAGACTATCAAAACACATTATAAAAAGTATTTACAATGTACTATGCCTGTGTTGCAGCAACTCCCAACAGTTATTTTAATACTGTAGATTATTCAGAAATGATACTTTGCCCATTCGTATAAACTTACCTTAGTTGGATGAGCTCCTTGTGGCGAGCAGTGAATGGATTTCAGTTACACTGCGTGATTATCATATACAGAATCCCTCTCATAACCACCAGCACTGTAAAGCATGCGAGTCATAGCTGGGAAAGTTGTAATTTAATGGTGGAGTGTCTTCATTTAACTGGAACTGATGGAAGACATTTCATGCTTTTCTGTCAATATGTACTTAAACAACTGAATCCAGATGGAGACAATATAAAAACAATACACCCAGTGCGGTTATGCTTTTGATTTGGTCCATTTCTTGCTGGAAAGCTGTGGAGGATTTTAACCCATAGCTACTCTAAAAAGAGTAATTTGTCTCTGCATTCACAAAGGATGCTTATACATAGAAAATACTTTTAATTAGAGGAAATATCTAATATCTGAACAGGATGTTTGTTGGAATTAGTTTGTCCATGTATACAAGCAATGTTCATTTCACAAAATATGTTAAGATGGTCCGCTAAAAGAGTGCTCAAAAAAACCTCATGAAATGAACGCAATAATTTAAAAGTAAGTGTTTGAGAACAAAAATATAAATAAATATTAGTACCTTATATTCAAAACACACTTTCCCCCAATTGGACTAAAATACAATTCTTTATATGGCATTGATATAATTGGCTTATTTAAGAGAGAGAAAAAAAATACCAGAATAATTTAGGTAAATTATCTCTCTGATGTGGCTTAATGAAAACAAACAGCTAGCTGCCAATTTCTAATGGGCCATCTTTCATCTGAATGGACACAAAGACTTAAAACCCACATCTTATTGAGCAGTCCAATTGGAAATTCACAGATTTGGCCAAATTTTGAAGACGAAACAAAAACCTGCCAACAAACCCTTCAGATATCTATGCACCCACTGGCACTCGCTGCCAATTAGCATGATCTCGAAAGCGCTAATGGAATCTTGAGTGGTAATACAAGTAAATAATTAAATTAGAGAAACCCTTGTTTCATTGTTTGCTGTATTCAGGCCCATTAGGACCTCCAGTATTCTCATGGTAATCTAATGTTGGTTTTTTGTGTTCTCGTAATGAATTCTGTGTTTTTCCTCCAAACAGTGTTGTTCAGACATTTGTGTAGGTGCTGGCAGAGAAACAAAGACGTACATTAGGACCTATTGTCCCCTGTGATTATTAAAGTAAACAGAAATACTGAAGAGGTATCGTACACAGCTGCATACACTTGAGCCTGTGTTTGTGAAGTGGGAGAAAGAGCCAAGCAACCCTTAAGACTTTGTCAGAGATGATCCCATTATTCGGAGCAACTCAAGAGCCGAGCGGTAGGCTGGCTACGAGGCTTTGAAGATCAGTGTTGGGCGCTGAATTCATCTGCAGCCGAGAATTTGGAAGCAAAATACATTTGGCACGAGATAAAATGCTTCTAGCCAAGATCGACTGTGAAGACGTTCCCCGCCTCGGCCTTGTGCTTTTATCTTGCCGTGTCCTTTTCAAAAAGACAAAGTGCGCTGTTAGAGGATGAAAGTTAACGTGGAATGTGCAGTCAAATGTTTCTCTTGTGCAGTGTACGCCTGGCATTACGTAAACCATCGTATGGCTACAACCAACTGTTACATTCAATTTCATGTTCTGTGTAATTAGATGATCCACTGTATGGTCTATACAACTTCAAAAATAGTGAAAAATGGCCATCATAAGTTCAGAGAGCCTCATATGACACCTTCCATTGTCTTGTTTTGTACAAACTCCCAAAAGATTAATTTTAGGATCATCAAAGAGAGGCTGGAACCAAAAAAAAAAAAAAAAGTTGCCGATCAGTGGATTAGTCAGTCAATTTGATGGATGGATGAATCAATTAATCGTTTCAGCTCTAGTAAATCATTGTTGGATCTGTGGTAATACAGCAAGTAAGTAAAAGGTTAGTAAAGTAAACGTGGAAGACAAGTTTCAGTACATAAGAACTTGAGATGTTTAATGTTTTTTAAAATTGTTTCTTTAAATAGATACCAGCATTTTATAAATAGGATAACACAATGAAAATCTCTACCGACAGCGGAGCTCAACATAACCTGCTGCAAAACTTCCATCATACATACATACAAGTATACAAAAAACAAAAACAAAATTTTTTTATACACTTTCTGCTAAAGAACAGTTCAATTTATGTGTGTCTGTTTTACTAAAAGCAATGTGATCAAAATATTTAGATTTTCATGGTCAAAGAATCTGCCTGGCAACGGCAAGGTAGGTTTAAAACAAAAAAAAATTAAAAAGACAGGACATGGATGAAAGTGAAAAGCAGCAATATAAGTGAACTGAATCGCTTCCAAACACTTGCTCGTCAGACAGGTTGCGGAGTCCCCCCCCCCCCCCAGACTGTTGCTAGTAACAATGACTAGCAGCAAACCCAAGGAATTCTTTTACTTCTGTGTTAACATTAAAAACATCAAATCTGAGTGAGCTCCGCTTGGCCCCGCTGTGGAAACAGTGGCTCTGGAGCTTGAACTAATGAGCACGGGAGAAAGTCAAGCAGCCAAATATTGCCTGATTCATGATTACACAGCTGTGACAAGAATGCAGCGAGTGTTTGTCTGCTGCTTCATATGTCCATCTGAAGAGCACATTGGTATAATAATACACCTGTATGCTAGTAATCGTCAACATTTTAAGCCTGTGTGAGCCAACTGTTGTCCTAAGCTTTCTTTTTGCTTTGTTGATTCAGCTAAGGACCATTTTAAGCATATTGCTAGGATGGCAGATACTTCTAGTTTCTCTCTAAAGACAACACCGCTATTTCAGCTCCATGTAAGTGTTGGAACACAACCTCAATATCCCCCTGCAGTCTGAAATCAGTGTTGGCGATCTTGTGCGACCTGTGCATTTCTTTTGTGATGTGGGGTTCATTTTATGCAGCTGACCTATGAGTGTAAGGTGGCGGCAGAAGCGTCATCACATGTCCAGAAGCAAAACTCGTGGGTCTTCCACCACCGCTTTGATCTTGCGTAAGAAAGTGACCGCTTCTCTGCCGTCAATGAGTCGGTGGTCATACGTCAGTGCCACATACATCATGGGCCGGACCTCAACCTGCCAAAGCAAAAAGCTGGTTTATTGTTTTCTCACGTTTGAGTGCATCAGATCTGAAAAACCAGTAGATCCATAAATGTATGCATGACGACTGTCTGTCATGTAGCTCAGATACTTGGCGGTATAATTCGTCTTGCACAACTTTTGTTTGCTTTTTATTTCATTCGTTTCCTAATTAATAATAATAATAATAATAATAATAAGTATGAAAACAAACTTACATTTCACCTTGTACCAGTAACATTTTTGCAAACCCAGTAGACAAATTAAAGTCCCTCTTCCCTGTTCTATGACTCACACAATTATAGCTCCTTTCATCTTTTAGCCTTCTGTGTCTATGAACACATAATTCTCACCTTGCCATTGATGGCCACCGGCCGGTCAAAGATGCCGTGCATGCCCAGGATGGCAGACTGTGGGGGGTTGATGATGGGCGTGCCAAACAGGGAGCCGAACACGCCACCGTTGCTGATGGTGAATGTGCCTCCATCCATGTCTTCAACAGCAA